GTCTATTTCTCTGAGATGAGGTGTCATGATTACTTACATTATTCGGACTTTTCTCCTCATCTTTATTGCCATATTCACATATGAACCAGTAGATAAAGACGTTGGTTAGATCCAGTGACTAACTTCTAGTGATATAATGGCTGTCTATATCTCTGAGATGAAGTATTATGATTACTTACATTATTTACATTATTCGGACTGTTATCCTCATCTTCATTGCCATGTTCACAAGGACACATGGCCCAGTGAATAAAGACGTTGGTTAGATCCAGTGACTAACTTCTAGTGATATAATGGCTGTCTATATCTCTGAGATGAGGTATTATGATTATCTACATTATTTACATTATTCGGACTGTTATCCTCATCTTCATTGCCATATTCACAACGTTTCGGTCGTTGTACGCTCCAGCCTTCTTAAGGTGATTAGAATTTCGAACCGAACCCTTTATTTCGTCCACCGGATGTAACCTTGAAGAGCTGAGTTAAAGGGAAATAACTGAGACATCCGGTAATGGCATGGCACGTGGAACTAGAACAATCTACCTTGGTGGACGAAATAAAGGGTTAGGTTCAAAATTCCAATCGCCTGGAGAAGACGGTGAATATGACAATGAAGATGAGGATAACAGTCCGAATAATGTAAATAATGTAAGTAATTATAATACCTCATCTAAGAGATATAGACAGCCATTATATCACTAGAAGCTAGTCACTGGATCTAACCAACGTCTTTATCCACTGGGCCATGTGTCCTTGTGAATATGGCAATGAAGATGAGGATAATAGTCCGAATAATGTAAATAATGTAAGTAATCATGATACCTCATCTCAGAGATATAGACAGCCATTATATCACTAGAAGCAAGTCACTGGATCTAAACAACGTCTTTATCCACTGGGCCATGTGTCCTCAGAATATGGCAATGAAGATGAGGATAACAGTCCGAATAATGTAAATAATGTAAGTAATCATAATACTCATCTCAGAGATATAGACAGCCATTGTATCACTAGAAGCTAGTCACTGGATCTAACCAACGTCTTTATCCACTGGGCCATATGTCCTTGTGAATATGGCAATGAAGATGAGGATAACAGTCCGTATAATGTAAATAATGTAAATAATTGACACTGCATTTAAATCTTGGAAGATCAAAGTTGACTGGGAAGCAAGATCCTGGAAGTGAGTACCACAAGCGAGAAGTGTGAGAAAAGAAAGTGTTAGCATGGAACTTACGGTTACATGTCGCCATTTAAACTATAAAATAAACAGACGCTTGTCGACAATCTAGTACTGAGTTTAAATTCATAAAGCCTAGATAAATAAAAGTGGTAATTGTTTTTAAAAATACAAAAAAATTGACACAAGGCCAAAGGAGGGGCATAAAGGAAGGCTAGTCTTCAGTCTGTCTTATCTTAAACTTAGCTAGCCACGATTACTGACACAAACGTGCCACTGTATCCCTTACGCCAAAACAACACATTCTTACTTACCATTCTTACAACATCTACTATAATACCTCGAAGTCTTTATGAAGTCCTAACTAGTTTTATATAAACAATTTGTATCACAGAAGAAAGTTCTTCAAAACAATTAGCATGTGATATTTATAGAAAAGACACAGGAAAGGTACATTGCGACGGTGGGAAGTGGCTGAAGCCGGGATGCCAGGTCAGTACCAGTAACATTGTAGATGCTTTTTTGTATTTTATCAAGAATCTCTAAATATATAATAGAAGCCCCATAGCAGATGTGGTAGCAGTATTCAAAGCAAGCACAAATGAAAGGCTTATAAATATGTAAGATAGATTCTGCCAAGGAAAAATTGTTTAACACGACACTGAACCAAATTTCCTAGCAGCAGATATTTGATTCAACATAATCTTTCCACCACATGTCAGCAAAAAACGTTAGCCTGAGAAGGCGCTAACAACGATACATTCTTACAATTGCTCTCCATTTAATATGACATAATTATAAAGTTAAGCTAGATAGAAATCCACGGCAGGGTACGACCTCTGGGTAAACATTCACCAACCAGTTACTTCACTTTTGAAAATTAGTTTCCAGAGATATTTATTCTTGGAGCTAAAAATTGTCTTATGTGTGTTATAGGACTTATAATTTGTTACAAAGTAAATATAAACAATTTTTTTTTCTATCCTTTGCCAGCCGCAGTGATAGAGAAAGCATTACCTCGGACCCTCGCCAGTGAGACACGCTACAAGAGCCGCTCCGTTTCGCGAGGCTCATCCCTTAATCAAGACGCCATCGCGTCAATCCTCAGAAGGAACGACATCGAAAGAGGGCCAATAACCCCAAATGTTTCCAAAGACATTACAAAACATTTTTTATCTTCAAGAAATAATCAAATTATGTGTGACATGTTAAAACTAAACCCATGTGCTCTATTATCTAATTAATTATATTAATTATATTAAAACAGTTTTAATTATATATATATTCATTCCAAATATTAATTATTATTAAATATTAATATTATTGATTATTATTGTATTATTAATAAATTATTAATTAATAAGTATTATAATGTAAATATTAATGTTAATATTAATAATATAATATTAAATATTAATGAATATTAATATAAATGTTAATAAATATAATTAATAAATTAATATATATAAATAAATATAATTAAAAAATTAATAAATTATTGTATTAATTATTATTAATATTATTATTAAAGAAATATAGTCTTAAGGTGTGCTATATTTATGGGATAAAGTGCTCAATATCAGAGATAGAGCGTGTGTAAATATAAAAGTGAACATAGAAGTCAACACTTAGAGGCGACAGTCTGTTTCATGCTATATGCAATCGTCAGGCTACATATGCTGTTATTTTTCTCGGCTATTTATATATATATACGGGTTAGTGGTGCATTGTGGGTATTCTATTATGGCGGTTATTTTTTACCGGAAGTCGCTTTGTTTATTTATTTGGGTCAAATTATATTGCTCGTTTTATTTTTTTTTCTTATTTTATTTATTTATTTATTAACGTAGTAAAATTTGTTTATATCACGTATTTAACAGTTTAATATATATATATATATATATATATATATATATATAGTGAATATTGAAGACAACACTCAGAGGAAATAGATTCTTCATGCTAATTATATATATATATATATATATATATATATATATATATATATATATATATATGTTAAGAAATGGACAAGGTCCGACAATTTATTTATTAAAGACATTTTATGTTTAACGTTGTTATTTATAGATATTTGCTTAAATACTTGTATCTATAAATAACAACGTTAAACATAAAAATGTCTTTAATAAATATATATATATATATATATATATATATATGGCTCAGTGGCCCATTGTAGGTAGTCCAAATAAATAGATAAATAATAAACAAACCACTCCCACCCAAATTACCGTTAGAACAGACAACGCATAATGCACCACTGACCCGTGTATATAAATCGAGAAAAAACACACATGTGGCCTGCCGATTGCATCTAGCATCAAACAGCCTGTTGCCTCTAAATGTTGACTTCAGTGTTCACTTTTATATTTACATACGGTCTATGTCTGCTATCGAGTACTTTATCCCATAAATATAGCACACCTTAAAATTATATTTATATATATATTGAAGTAACCTTTCTTTCAAACCTCTTTCATTGAATACGGCCGACAAGGAAGATTGAATTAGTTTTCATTAAGTTTTCCAGCATCCTAATACTTTTCCGTTTTGCAGGAGTTAAGGAATATAAAAATTGTCCATACTTATAATAGCCCAAACGTTCATTCCAAGCTCTCACATGCCGCATGAGTATCTTTCTATTATATATATATATATATATATATATATATATATATTACCATATATATGTGTGTGTGTGTGTGTGTGTGTGTCTATCTGTTCTATTATATATATATATATATATATATATATATATATATATATATATATATATATATGTATGTATGTATGTATAGACACATATATGATAAAAGAAAAGGTTTAAGTAACTTCAAATTAATGTATGATGGAATCTCCGTCTAACTATACACTTTAAACTTTATTATAGTGGATAATTCGTATTTGAAATAGACGTCCCATTCTTACTTATTAAACAGCGTTTATATATCAGCCTACTCATTCGAAAAGTCTTTGTAAAGAAAATGCGTTCGATCCTTGTCAGGAATTCTTTTTCGAAGGGGAAAATTTTCTTCTTTAATAAACCAAATAATTCTTTCCCTAATTTATTAGATGAAAATATATTATTGAAAATTTGTCTAGAGTAGTTAGAACCTACATTGATATAACATGGATATTGGTTATTTTTTCTAAATGGGGACACGGTGCCGTTGTACAAGTTAAGTGCAATATTCAAAAAATCTGTAATTTTAAAATTAGTTTGGATATTTAACTTGAATCCAAGCATATCGTATAACCAATGCATTTTTTTCATGACCCATTGTACATGTTAGTACTTCGTATTTCTATTCCACGAAATTTTTCCTTGAAGATTGACCATAGATTCCCCATTGGATTTAAATCAGTAGAGTTCCTGAGGCAGTCGATAGTACTGCTCACTTATAAGGCTTGTAAGTGTGTTAGTGCAGCGGTAAAATTTTCGTACGTTTCCTTTGAGTAACGTCCATCGCAGACAATAAACGTAGGACAAATAATCGACAGTCGGGACAATAGTGTGTGGCCGTGATTAAAAACCTTATGCAATCACGGTTGACGCAATTTTTTTCAAGGCCAAACAAATTTCATCATACACCCCAAAATAGATTCATATTACTGCATACCACTCCAAATAACCTAATCTGAAGAAGAAAAAAAATAGAAATCGATTACACCCTGCCACTCCAGTGGGTGTAAAACTGACCGTGTGATGAAAGAAAGGAAACTAAAGCGGCTGTTTCAATTAATTTGCACAAGGGTGTATATGTAGCGATCCAGACACACACAGACATACACACACATAGATAGATAGATAGATAGATAGATAGATAGATAGATAGATAGATAGATAGATAGATAGATATGAAAAGGCTGAGACAGATATATATAGAGAGAGAGCTACATAGATATGAAAAGTATGATAGATATGAAAAGACTGAGATAGATAGATAGATAGATAGATAGATAGATAGATAGATAGATGCTGAATAAACTGAGATAGATATGGACAGAAAGCGAGAAATAGATATGAACAGAGTAAGATAGACTTATAAATAGATATGAACATATATATATATATATATATATATATATATATAGAGAGAGAGAGAGAGAGAGAGAGAGAGGAACAAAATAGGATAGATAGATAGATAGATAGATAGATAGATAGATAGATAAAGCAGGGTTAACTACAGGAAACAGTCTGATGTTGAAAAGACGGAACTTTTAAACAGCATATCCTGAAGCATCTGAGGAATGCATGTTACAAATTGTATTTAAGCAACATGGCAATAGAAATCATCTCTTCATATTAGGCGCACTTTCCCCCTTAAATCTTTTTATCAAACCGAGCGTGAAACCGCCATTCACCTTGCAATATTGCAGTCGATGCCCACACTATTTAAATATAGTGAACACTTCCCCCCTAAAATATAGCAATTTTTAAACAACAGAATCTCTATCTATAAAAGGTAGGATGTGTGTGTGTGTGTGTGTGTGTGTGTGTGTGTGTGTGTGTGTGTGTGTGTGTGTGTGTGTGTGTGACGAATGCACGGCCACAATTTTCGATGCACATGCTCCAAGTTAGCGGGACCGTTTAGACCGACTTTGCATTTCCCAACTCCCATCGATAGTGGAAATAATCGATTTTTTCATGCTTCTACAGCAGTTTTCATGTATTTTGCGGCCGTTTTCTACTGGCCAGAGTGAGAGCCTATAGCTGGCTGCCACAAATAGGCAGGAAAGATTCTATTGGCCAGCGTGAGAGCCAACAGCTGACTGACACGAATGTTAACTAGCATGCAAAAAAATCGATAGCTGCATTCGTCACAAGTGGGAAAAATTTTAATCTGCATGGCACTTTACACCAATTGGCTCATTCGCTTGCTTAAACTCAACGTTAATTCTGATTCCGCAGAACTGGGTTGGATGTGAAAAAGTATTTGTTAACATTCTTTTTTCATTCATTTTTTCCATTTACGAGTCCTTTTTTTAAAGCTGATCGTTTTGTGTTCATTTTCTTTAGTTCTTTTTTCGTAACAGATTTAATGTTTAGTATAGAGCTTAGAAAAAATTCGCAGTGTGAGATAGGCAAGAAGTAAGGCATGTAGCAACATCAGCACAGCAAAGGGCACTCCTTTAAAGGCAAGGAAGGGCAAAAATATTTTAAGTCAAGTGATAGCGATTGCTGTCGTACGATTTTTGAATCAAGCACGGGCAACGCCGGGTCATGCTGCTAGTTATCTGTATAAGTGCGTGCTTGTATATGTTTGTGTGCATGTGAGCATCTGCGTATGTGCACGTCATCACGTATAGAGAGCAATACGTGCACAGCCTACAAAATAAGTAGTGCATCAAAAAGAACCCTGCCCTATATTAATACTGTATACCCTCCTTGAGGTTAGCACAAGACCAACTCACGTATGCGTGTGATTGTACCATATAATGTGATGGATAATTATAAGCCTCTTTCACCTGCTGATATAATCCATCAAGAATTATAGGTGAACTGACTGACTCTCTATATCGGATATGATGGGACAATCTCTGACTCGTCCAGTCGGCCCACCTACAATTCTTGCTGTATTATGTCAACCGGTGCAAGAGGCTTATAATTATCCATCAGGGTATGGTACTGGCAAAATATGTACAATCGCATGCATGAATGATCACAGTTTTGTGCTAACCCCTAGGAGGATATACAGTAAGGGACAGGTCTATCAATCGTGTACGCCAGGGAAGTTGTCGAACATTTTGGAAAGTATTATCTTTTAGGAATAGGACGTCGCTTGGATGTTGGCGGAATGGTAGACGAATGGGTTGAACGCTCGTTTCGAGGCACATGGAACTGTTCATAATAAAAAGAATTTCAACTTACAGCACCTCATGCCATGATGCCAAGACCATTGTATGTGGTGGAACTTCTTTCTTACTAATGGAATACAAGGGGAATCAGAATGATTTGACCCTGTGTATGGAGGAGGTACGGTGAAATAATGAATAACGACCCGAAGAATCGGAGAGACGTGTTTCATTTTACGTGCTAATACCCTTTGAAAAGATGTAAATTCATCTCTCTTTCTTCCCGGTATGGGTAAATAACAGTATAGACTGGATCCTATAGCTTTTGTTGGCGACTAATCTAGAAGAAGGAAATGTGAATTCAAGCCAAACCGGAGAGGATTGGACATCGTCAGGCTGTCTTATCCAAGAGACACCCCTACTACTACGGCCGTGGTGTTCCTGCGGTCCTGGACGAGGGGGGGCGTTAAAGTGATGTAGAGTCTTAGATGGAAAGGCCTGAATAAGTGGAACAAAAAAATGTAGCTCGTCTGAATATTTGCTATGGAAATAGCAATATTCTTGCGACGTTCCGTGTAGTGAAAAAAGGTATTTAGGATTGAAAATAAAATTGATATTAAAAGCGAGGATTGTGCAGCTCCAATCAAGATGTGGCAGCAATACGCCATTTTCGGTCTGATCTGACTCTTTTAAAAGTAGAGCATGTCAGGAGAAGTCAGGTACTTACTAGATCGTTACATGGAACCGACCATTTTACCAGCATCTTTAGCGATGGTTAGTATATATGAGTTCCACTTGAGGTCTGGATTGAACTTCCGCCCCAATAGGCGTTCAAGGATCCTCATTGCAAGACCAACCATTCATCATGTCTAGAGAAAATTCTGGATCTACCCGATGATGATGGATCTTAGTTTTGGAGGTATTGAATGTTGGAAGCGAGTCCCCACCCCCATTGAGTTGCTCGACCTAGGTCAGGGGAGAGATCAGCTGCTAGGACCTGATCTGGGGTTACACTTGATTTGATCTGTGCTATGGACGCCGTGCCGTCTGCCACTGCTTATACCACACTGCGTCAATCTTAACGAACGTCAATAGTATGTGGACGTTCAGAACCTGATGTCTGCTGTTATTCTCCTTAATAGCAATCGAGTCTCCAATCTGCCCCTGCTCAAATGGTTCTAATTAACAAAAGAGACACGTGGCATGTCACCTGCTTGCAGTGGACTTTCACCACACCGAGCCTTATCGCAACACACTTCAGTAAAGCTCTGGCATAGACACTGCTGCTCCTGGAGTTGAAAACTTTGAAAACTTTATTATTTTATCAATCTATTATACTGTGGGTGGGGGGGTACTGAAAATTTCTCGACCCGACCCACATTCCAAAATATTACCAAACTTTCTGTGTTGAGCCGAGAACTTTTCATCAGCTCTCATACATATATGCATATTTGTTGCAAGCCTTTTAAATTTAGTTTTAAAAAAGATACTTATTTAAATTTTATTCAATATTTTCTGAATTTATCTTGCAAAAACTTATCGCCTTATTTTGTAGAATTTTAGGCAATTGTAAGAACGTTTTTTCCCCTTTCCCACAACTTGGAGTTGCAGCATTTTAATAACAAATTGATTTTTCCATTACCGTGGGTTATATCATATTTGCATAAAATTCCGATAATATATTTTACCAATTTCATTTTTTTTTCCTAGAAAAGACCCACACCAATGAATTTTCGTAAGGAAAAATACTTGGAAAACTGTTTCACGTTTATCTTAAAAGAATTTCATTCGTAACACGGATAGTTTTCTTTACAGGGAAAAAATCATTAGATAGCCTCTAAGCACGTTTCCCTGAAATCCTACTGTAGACGTGATATGAAATACAATGGCGTACAAAACATTTAGACATCCTTTGTAAATTAATTACTTTTTTTACCCCAAAATCGAGAGTGATTAGCTGTATGCTTTTCTCGGTACATTTTATGGTCTTTGGGGACCAGACAACAAGTCACTGCATTTTTATTAATGCTATATGGTGGATCATAGAGCATCTTAAGTGCAGTGATGTCTAAAAAAAGACCATGAAAAAATACTGAGTCACCAGCAAAAATTTCAAATTTCAGCACTTTTCTTAAAAAGAAATTCCTTTTTCGCAAAAAGTGTTGTTTCCTATTACAGAAGGTATAAAACACGTTTGAAATCAACGGATTAAATTAAGGTTAGTTTCATCTGCAGTTCAGTCTATGGCTTTAAGTTCACTACAGACAAATTGTCCTACAGAAAAATAGCTTCCTGGACTAAATCATTGATGTGTGAATTTGGTAACATAATGAATGTAAGGTCAGTTTGTACATGGACTAGTGGAAACGGACAAGCAATAACTGAGCAGTATTAAAAATAATAACTAGACGATATCCCTAGACATGGGTAATGGAGCGAGGAGATTAAATAAAGCGATGTATTCAGAATTCCCTGTAGGTTACCTATATCACTATAAACCCGAGGAAGGTCGGAAAGCACAAAGGCCGAAACGACATGATAACAACAAGAAAGATGAGAACACTAGTCCGAATCTAAATAATGTAAATATCCAGAAATTCAGACAGTGATATATATATGTGTGTGTGTGTGTGTGTGTGTGTGTGTGTGTGTGTGTGTGTGTGTGTGCGTGTGCGTGTGTGTGTATAAAATATAAAACAAAGGAGCAGAAGAGCAAAGATAAGAGCAAAAATTATTCACCGTAAAATATTGGATACAATATTACAAAAACTACAAAGAAATAACTAAAACAGGCTAACCGGTTATCGATCCTCGCTCTTCAGAGCCAACTGAGAACAAAAATATGTACACAGCGACTAAAAGAAAAAAAACGTAAAATATATAAGTAACATTGAATTAGCAGTATAAATTAGAGATAGATTACGTTTAAACCCAGCAACCTATTATTTATTATTTATATATTTATATATACTTTTAAAATGTCCTTTTTAAAGCGTTAATAAAAAAATTTGTACCCGCCATAATTTTTAAAGCTGAATTTCAAAGAACAAATCTAATAACCAGTTTATGAGTTTAAAGACTGATTTCACAAATAATGGTAAAAACAAGATTGGCACCTGCGTAAATCCGATGCAGTCTTTTCACTAAGTTGTATCCTGTATCGAGTGAGGCGTTATGAAGTATTTACATTACTCAGACTGTTTTCATCTTCATTGTCATATTCACAACCTTTCGGCCGTTGTACATAATTGTCTGCATTGCTCAATAAGCCTTTCTTTATTTATTAACATACAAGGCTTCAAATACGGGGCACAGATTGAACATCGAGCTAAAGGAAGCCTATCATTTAAATTGAAAACCAGATTGTTAGGTTTAAAAAAAGCTGCTTTATTTGTCACTTGCATATGAAATGGCAAATATTCATGGCATTTGTTGAAGCTTAAATAAGCATGGAATAATACAACACAAAATGTACGTTAACAAAATGTATTGAAACAAAGAATAGGTACACAATATTTACAGTTAGTTTGGTATATTCTTGGGAAGACTGTTCCTGCATAATGGGTTGACTAAATCGCAGTCGGGCAGAGTCTCTGGATTCAATTTCTTAATCTCTACTATCTTCCCCGTCTTCCGGTACCAACCCATATTTATATGGTCGGTAGTCCGCTTATGTAAATTAGGTGTATCATACACAACAGCATTAATTTCTCAAATTCTCGCAGAAGTTTACAATGAACACGGTCAAACCAATGGCCGACTCCCAACTACTTTTACTTTTCTACAAGTAAATAAAAAAAAATTAAAGAACACACCTCTCTCGTCGTTCATTAAAATATCCACAAAATACGATTGTATAGGTTAAACATTACTGCAAGTTTAGAGACATAAGACTTTCATTTATGTTATAAAATCACTATATAGTTATGTAATAGAATATTTAATCTTAGAGTTGATGGCAGACGAGTTCTGGCACTTGAACCGCAAACCCATCGGATTGCATGATGTAAATTATCCGCTACAATATCAGAATACTAGGCGTTCGTTTATATAATCATGTAAAGAACAACATTAAAAGTAATTTTAATATTTTCGTTTTCATACAGATTCCATTCAAAGGGCTCGCGTACTACTGTGAATGCATCTTGAATATTTCCATGTATTGACAGGATTCAAATATGTTTTCTACCTGGCGGAAAACAAAAGCTGCATGTACATACACATTCAAAAACTGCACGTACACACATACAGACAAATACATGCAAGAATGTATACAAACAAGTACACGCAATATTCAATTTAAAAAAAAAACAAAAACTGTTTTTTCAATCGCCCGCAGACGTTATTATTTTCTGCTTCAAACTTTCGATAAGATGAGCATGCTTGTGTACAAACAAATTTCTTCATTCGTCACTTGAAAATTTTCCTTTACTTATATGCGATGCCTCCTTATATTCTCTCGATTTCTCTGCTTTTTTAAAGTTGGTCGAAAAATAACAGCTTTTTCTGAAAATATAAATATTTGTACATGTGAAAACGTTTCAGAAGCATAGTATCCGTCAAAAATGACGAGTTTATTTATGTATAAATCGGCATTTCAGCCTTGAATCATAATAGTAACTGTGTGCTCTACTTGACATGAGTGTACTGCGTATGTGCGTATGTGCGTACACATACACACATATATGCGTGTGTAAAAATTCAGCTGTAAATAAATGTATCCAGGAAGGCAATATTGATAAAAGACATGACAAGAGGAAAACCTTTTATGCAATTTTATAATATAGAAAAATGCACACATAGATAGAGAGATAGATGAATATGAATAGACTGAGGTAGATACATAGATAGAGAGGGAGAGAGAGAAAGAGATAGATAGATGGATATGAAAACACTGAGATAGATAGATAGATAGATAGATAGATAGATAGATAGATAGATAGATAGATAGATAGATAGATAGATATGAAAAGGCTGAGACAGATATATAGAGAGAGAGCTACATAAATATGAAACGTATGAAATAGATATGAAAAGACTGAGATAGATAGATAGATAGATAGATAGATAGATAGATAGATAGATAGCTATGAAAAGACTGAGATAGTTAATTGAATGAAGAGATAGAATGAGGAGCTATACATAATGAATATGAAAAGACTGAGATAGATAGATAGATAGATAGATAGATAGATAGATAGATAGATAGATAGATAGATAGATAGGGAGAGAGGGAGAGAGAGAAAGAGATAGATAGATGGATATGAAAACACTAAGATAGATAGATAGATAGATAGATAGATAGATAGATAGATAGATAGATAGATAGGGAGAGAGGGAGAGAGAGAAAGAGATAGATAGATGGATATGAAAACACTAAGATAGATAGATAGATAGATAGATAGATAGATAGATAGATAGATAGATAGATAGATAGATAGATATGAAAAGACTGAGATAGTGAATTAGATAGGTAGATAGAATGAGGGAGCTATACATAATGAATATGAAAAGATAGATAGATAGATAGATAGATAGATAGATAGATAGATAGATAGATAGATAGATAGATAGATAGATATGAAAAAGAGGAGATAGTTAATTAGATAGGTAGATAGAATTAGGAGCTATACATAATGAATATGAAAAGACAGACAGATAGATAGATAGATAGATAGATAGATAGATAGATAGATAGATGAGAGATAGATAGATGGGGAGAGAGGGAGAGAGAAAGAGATAGATAGATGGATATGAAAACACTAAGATAGATGAATGGATAGATAGATAGATAGATAGATAGATAGATAGATAGATAGATAGATAGATATGAAAAGACTGAGATAGTGAATTAGATAGGTAGATAGAATGAGGGAGCTATACATAATGAATATGAAAAGATAGATAGATAGATAGATAGATAGATAGATAGATAGATAGATAGATAGATAGATAGATATGAAAAGAGTGAGATAGTGAATTAGATAGGTAGATAGAATGAGGGAGCTATACATAATGAATATGAAAAGACAGACAGATAGATAGATAGATAGATAGATAGATAGATATTAATAGTAGATATTTATTCAGGTTCGCTTGATCTAACTGAAGTTCACATCATCGGGCCAGCCGGTTGGAATCGAACTCTCTAGAGTTCTGAACTGATTTTCGAGGTAAGCGACCTGCGTTTTGATTATTCTTGTGCAAAGCCAGCGGAGTGTGACACCTGGTATGGACCCTTCAAGCCGAAGCAATAATGCGCTGCTGGACGAGCACGCTGATCATTTCGACCGCGACGTGGCATTCTCAGATGTCCCAGGCGTGCGGGGTGGGGGGGGGGTTTATACCCGTTAAGAATAACTACCACTTCATAACGAAACGCCTGTTACAAAGGTTAGCTTGGTTTAGCCCAAGGTCAAAATACTTGCTCACTCAGTGAGAAGCGGTCATATTGGGGGGTATTCGTTTCTATCGATGCACCGATAATGAGCATTCTTAAATATAGCAAATTATATATATATATATATATATATATATATATTGATTACAAAATGACTAACTAGGTTATGGTTTTTTATTGTATATTTCTTGTAAGCGAAGAAGGAATTTCTTGTTTGAACTCCCTAAGTGTCGAAGTTCTCCAAATGATTGTCTGTTCCATCCGAGCGCTTTCACCTCATCTATTAGACATATCGACAATGTGGTCTGAAAACCGCGTTAAAACGTGAAACCGTCTGTCGCTATATAATTTTGAATCCTGTCTAATCTGCCTATATACTTAAACAACCTCTCTCCTATACTGAACACCCTTCCCCTCTAAATACTGCGGATTTTAAACAATATATTGGTGTACGTCCATGTGTATACGTGCGTTTTGTGTGTGTTTGTGTCTGTGTGATGACGAATGTCAATTTTATGCCCTCTTGTAACAAGAGTTAGCAACGCTTTCATTCCCAATGTTCAAAATAAAATGGACTTTAATCCCTAAACTATTTCTTTTTGGTCAGTCTTGTATGTAGATAAAACGGCGACCACAAAGTTGCCTACACAGTTCAGTTTAATAATCTGATTTTCCAAATGAGGATTGACATCACAGAATTCGCGAATTGTTCTGGCAGTATTTTAAACATCATTCTTCAGAAGATGCCTCATCAATCTTTAAGAATAGCAGAGTCTATTTTGCTTTGGGACCTCGTAAAGTTAAAGGCGGCAACAATTTGGCCGAAATAGTAACATACAGTACGAAGCAAAAAAAAATGGACGCACTCATAGAAAGTCGAATTTTGTATTTTTACCAAGACAACTAAGTAGTAGAATTCGTTTAGTAAGTGAGTTGGGATCTTAACCTAGTTGAAAACCTTTGGGTGATAATGGACAAGTGTGCCCATAATAGGAAAGTTAACACAGAAGATGAACTTTTTCGTGAATTAAAGAAATGCTGGAAAAATCTGGCAAAGGACGTTGACTTACTAAAGAATTTAGTCTATAGCATACCACGAAGAATTAAGGCCGTTAGTAAAGCAAAAGGTTACCCAACATAGTTACTAAATTATTTTTTGACTTATAATGTACATAAGTACACCTGTATTAATAAACGAATTCTATTACTCACTTGTCTTGGCAAAAATACAAAAATCGACTTTCTATGCGTGCGTCCATTTTTTTTTGCCTCGTACTGTATGTAATGTTTAGGACTAGATAATAATAATAATAATAATAATAATAATAATAATAATAATAATAATAATGATAATAATAATAATAATAATAATCGCCGAGATATCGTAGTCAAAGACCACTAAAACAGAATGTGTTTTCTTATTGACAAGGCAATTACTGCAGATAGTAAATATATTTAAAAAAAAAAGTTATCAAAAATACAAAGATCTTGAAGTGGAAATCTCCATAATATGACACATGAGGACATCAATAATTTCAATTATAATTGAAGCCCTCGGATTGATTCGAAAATGTTCTAATAGAATTACTGAAGGGATTCCTGGTAGCCCATGTTTTGAGGAAATGCAAAAAAAAATTTACTCACAACTAGAGCTCACACATTACAAAGAGACTTATCAGTATGAAATATATGTAATCTTAGTTTGGGGGAGTGGGGAAATGATCAGTGAAAAAAATTATGAAGTCATTTTTGAACTTAGGTTTCTGGTTGGAGCCCAGAAGGAAATGTGTATACCACAGAAATCCATGAAAATAATAATAATAATAATAATAATATCTGCAACTTCTACGGGAAGGAAACTGAAAGAAACTGGTATGAACACCACCCAGACCCGGTTACGGAGATAGGACCTGTTACAATTCTATGGGATTACACAATACACACTGACAGAACAATCAAGGCCAACCGGCCAGATATTGTTATTAAAGACCACAAACAAAAACGATGCCTCCTTATTGATATGGCAGTCCCTGCTGACTGCAATGTATCTTTGAAGATATTCAAAAAGTTGTCAAAGTACAAGGACCTTTGAAATAGAAATCTCGAAAATGTCGCATATGGGAACATCAACAATCCCTGTTGTAGTTGGAGCCCTAGGACTGGTTGGAAAAGATTGCAGTAGACTAATTGAAGGGATTCTTGGAAGTCCATGCCTCAAGGAGATACAAAAAATTGTTCTGACAAGTACAGCCCACACCTTACGAAGGGCTTTATCTATGTAATTTAATTCTTTTTTTTTTTTTTTTTTTTTTGTCAGTGGAAAGTGTCATGACGCCATTTCTAACCTTAGGTCCCTGGGCGGGACCCGGAAAGAAATGTGTAAACGCCGGAAATCAAAGAAAATAAAAATAATAATAATAATAATAATGTCACAGATGAGGATATCAACAATTCCGGTATTAGTTGAAGTTCTCAGATTGATTGGAAAAAGATTCCCATAGACTCATTGAAGAAATCACTTGTAGCCCATGCCTTAAAGAAATACAAAAAATGTTCTCACGAGTACAGACCCCACACATTACGAGGGGTTTTATCTATGTAAAATATGTGTTTTTTTGTTTTGTTTTTTTGTTTTTTTAATTGCTCTGTGAAAAATGTCACGTTGTCATTTTTGACTTTAGGTCTCTGGACGGAACCCAGAAAGAAATGAATATACACCAGAAACCAAAGGAAATAAAAATAATAATAAAAAAACTGCCCAAAAAGATCTGACAGGATGACAATCGTCAGATTTTGGCAATTATGCAACCCAAGTAAGGCGATAATGCCACTACGATGGTGGGTGTTACAGGGATTGAAAGAGAATGAGAAAACTTTAGTGAAGTGATGTGAGGAAAAGGACAATAAAGAAACGGGAAAGCAACTGATGATGACATGTTGCATTTAGATTTTTGAAGATTATGGGTGACAGGTGCTGAAATACAAAGACGCATTGGAATAGCCAAAGACGCA